TGTATTTAAGCTAGCTAAGGGCGAATCAATAACGTTAAGTTATTTAAAATTAAGTAAAAAAAGAAATTTAAAGTACGACTTCTAGTTAGTAACTTTAAGTTTAGAATAAAATCAGTTCAAAATGTTATTTTTTACCATTAAATTACTGTAAAAGTGGTAGAGCCGGCAATAACTTATGCATTAATGGGGCGGCACGACCAATGCAATGCCATGACTGTGCAGAAGGCAGGCGCGAAGTGTAAGCGATTCTGTGTTTCGTCTGAGACTGTATGTGCCGGAGGTCTAATGTTAGTACTCTTCCCTTTACCACCCTTATAATTCCATCTGATTTGGCAGTGGAGGGGGCGCATAGAAAAGGGAAATATCCACTTTCTGTGCGTCCTCTCTGGCGATTTAAAGTTGGCAACGGTCATCCTATTTTGCTGAATTGGGTGGTCGCTTGGTCGTTTGCCACCTTTTGCAAAAAAAAAATACTATATCCACTAAACAAGACTCTACAATTATTGCTCTATTTCTACGCAACTGTATGTAATTAAGTTAATTTTCGTAATAATTAAATGTCCTATTATGTAATACAAACGTTAGCACAATTAAAGCATTAGTGTGCAGGCATTAATTATGGTCAGAATGAGGAGCATGCAGTAGGCACACCGAAACGGTCTCGCGTTTGAAACTACCTTTTACAAGGCGGCTAACCGGCTCTTTATGTAATTGTTCACCCATTTCATATTTTAACCTAAATTTATTTTATTTTAATGTTAAAGTTATATTAAATATTTTTACTAGTAGTAGAAATAAAAAAAAAAACTAGTTGTTTTCTCTCTAGCACAAGATTATGAGAAATACTTAATTTAAGACACTTTTCAAATAAATTAAATTGACAAAAAATGTTCTATTTTTTAAATAATTCCTTTAATTATTAACATTCTTTGTACTTCATTTGTCTGATTTGCGATAGCTTCATTAAAATTATACTATTGGTTCTCGATCGAATAATTACTATGTTAGGTAAGCTCGTAAACCTACTATTGTCGTAACATTCAATAGAATTAACTCTAGCTGTATTAGTTAAACATTTATCCATAATATTTGGTAACCTTTTACAAAAGAATATAATCGTGAAGTATATTTGATAAAGATTGAATTAACCTTTCTCGGGATCTCTGATGCCATTCCATTGTGGATACAATGTACAAAAAATGTGCCACAATCTCGGCAAAAACGACTTTTGATAACAAATTGCTATCTCTATGTTAAAGCAACACAAAGTAACGTAAAAGAAATTTTCTACATAGTTGCCCTCTTGTGGCTCGTAGCTACACAATAAGTGAACAAAAACTGTGATTTATACGTAAAAAGAGTAGCTTGCGCTTAATACATTGCCACGGAGCTTTACGTTTGTTTTTTACTAAAGCATATTTTATTCGTGTACCTTATCTTTTAAATATGGTTTTATTGTATTTTACAGTATTTATCGATTAAAAAGACTATCTAACCTTAATATTACCATTTTTATTTATTTTACTAGCTGTTGCCCGCGGCTTAGTAGTGTGACCTATGTGTTCTTCCAGACTATGCTAAATTTCAGCGGGATCAGTTCCGCCGTTCTATAGATACCTTCAAACAAACATCCATCCAAACATTCACATTTATAATATTAGTAGGATATAAGAAGTAAGATTAATTGCTACTCGTGGTAAGGCCATAATTAGGGTGAGGTACCACTATAATTTAATTACTGGTGATATAAAAAAAATTGTAACCTTTCAAGATATAAAAAACTACATAGACTACCTCGTTGTTGACACAATTTAATATACAATATAAGGTTGTGGAAAATCAACGAAAAAACCTGGGTTATTGATTCACACTTCTTTAATTGAATCACCTTTAAGACAACTAAATTATTCAAACTTTCGTGAGACATTATACTAAACTGATATATAAACACGGCTGAACACTCACGTATATACGTCCGGTGGCGGCACCGACTAGTTTCGAGCCCATCGGGGGCCCTTCATCAGGATGAGTGGCACTGGTATTATTTCGCGGACGCGGCCCGTCGCTCACTGGACTTAAGACAACGTTATTTATAAAAGTTTTAGGTTGAAATGGTCTCGTTGTCTTGTTTAAATATTAACATTTCTATTCGGGTATATTTATGCTTAACATACCCGTCTTTTTAAAGCACGACTGCAGAAAATTAGGAACATAAATTCCACTAGGAAAGTGCAGGAGCCACCATTTCCCAAAGATATTGCAGCATGCAATCGTATAACACGAATTTTATACGTAGCTACCTCCAGCATTATGTAATTACCCGAGAAAATATTATTTTACTTGGATGATTATTTTAAATGATGAAATCTAGATGGCGCTGTTATTAATTTTATTATTAAATCTGTTAAACTAAAACAAATTTCATTTATTTTTCATTTCATATATCTTAGAACGATTTAATATGTAAAAATTTAATATTTCAATATTAAAATATATTTTTTGTTGTTTCAATTATTGATGGTATAAGCAATATTCGCGTTATATACAGAGGTTTTGTTCAGTTATTTTATCGGGAAAAAGAAATCGTATATAATTTTGGATTCAGTGTAAGCCCTTACGACCGTTCTGATGAATTTGTTCGAGATAAACCCATGCACTTAAATCCAAATTGCCAATTCCGAGATACGCGCACCGAATCGAATCTACATTTCCATCATACGAGAGGAGAGAAAGAAATTACTTTTTTATATTACGCCTTATATAACTAGGAAATTAAGCGACAATGGCCTAATTTTACTGCTTAGTAATATTATAAACTACCTTATGCCCGCGACTCCGTCTGCGCAGAATTAAAAAAAAAAACCTTGTTAAGTAGCCTGTGTTCTTCTAGACTATGTTGTACAACTGTACAAAATTTCAGCGAGATCCGTGCAGCTTTTCTGGAGATATTTTCAAATAATCCATCCAAACATTCACATTAATAGTATTAGTAAGGTGTGATTAAATTATTCAAACTTTCGTGAGACATTATACTAAACTGATATATTAACACGGCTAAACACTCACTAGTCTAACTAGTCGGTGCCGCCACCGGAAGTATATACGTGTTTGTTTAGCCTTGTTTATATATCACGTTAGTAAGGTGTGAGGTTTTGAATGGATTTATGGATGCTTGTAACCAGGTAACTTCGGAAGTAATGATCTATTGGATTAACTGGAAGAACGTATAGACCACATTGGTAAAATTAATGTGATGTATTGTGTATGAAAATGTCTTACCTTTTTTTACGTTTACTTGAAAATAAATTAAATTAATAAAAGAATATTATTCCTAAGTATTATAATTTAATCACAACTTTCGAATATTATTAATCTAATGAACCCAAAAATCGGGTTTACAAAGGATTATTCATTTTTTTAACGTTATAATAAAAAAGTTGGATAAACCTTGGGATTAACAATACTTTGTTAGTCTCTATGTATTTTAAATATTAGAAGAAACTTTAATAATTTATATAAAAAAAAAATACTTGATAAAACATGTTGTTAAGTAAACTTTACTTTAATGTTGCGATGTTTAATTTTGTACAGAATTACTACAACATTTTCATAAAAAAAAATAACAAGCAATTGAAGGAAAATTAAGTTCCTTCTGCCTCGGAGCAACGTTCCTATTAGAAGATATTCGAGGCAATATGAAAAAAGTTTCTGTCCTATTATTTTATTATTCTTTTCTTATTACATATTTTCTTATAAAAAATAAATATTTTGCACAAAAAAAAAAGAAATAGTATCACTTATTCTTACTTTTGTAAATCTATTAAGTAAACTGGAATAATTATTTTGAGAATTTTTGAACGTGTAAGGCGGTTTTAAATATTTTTCTATTTCCTAGATGCATTAAAGCAGAGATAATTAAACGGTGTAAATAAAAATTAATATAAATGGCATATAATCTTAAAAGACAGTTAAGCGCATTGTAAAAATCCAGTTTTAAACATTAATGGTTAGGTTTAAACGCGCGGTAAACGGTCCCCGCCATTCTAACCATAATAAATAGCAATGTGCTTGCTTTTAAACTCTTATTGCAACGTTTTAATTCTTATAACAGTTAGTTTTCACTGCAGCAACACCTGCACAAAAACATTTACACAAGTTTTGGCAATGGAAACTAAAAAGTAAACCTATATAAAAACTTAAACTAAAACCTATCTTACTACTTACTAATACTATAAATGCGAAAGTTTAAATGGATGGATGTTTGTTACAAGATATCTCCGGAACATAGTCTGGAAGAACACATAGGCTACTAATTAGTTTTATTCTAATGCACAGCACGGACGGAGTCGCGGGCGACTGCTAGTATGGAATATCTTGAGAGACTAACTTGCAAACAAATAAAAGCTTCATTTGTTATTATGCAAACGATTAACGATTCTTCGATCTGTGTACTCTTTGAATCGATTGATTGAATAAATTAAAAAGATTTACCATTACCATCTCTAGCAGATGTAACAAAGAACAAAGCTAATTGGAACGAAAAACAAACATGATTGTATCGTAATTAATTCAAGTAGGATGTCAAAGGGATACAAAGTGTCATTTACATTTACTACAGTCGTATTTGATACCATTGCAAAGGATTAAATCAATGATCTTATTAACCCGTGTTAAATAAAACAGATGAAAAGCACTTTTAAAGGAAAGAAAAATAAGATAAACTTTTGTACGATTTTTTCAGACTCTACAGTCTTGAAAAAATGTTATCTCTAGACCGTGACCGCGACTCCCTCCGAGCAGAACTAAAAAAAATAGTAGTCTATGTTTTGTACCAGACTATGTTCTATATTTATGCCGAGTTTCAGCAAGATCTATCCAGCCATTTTGGTGATTCCTTTTAACAAACATCCAACGATATATATGTTTGTTCTTGGCTTAATTCCTAAGCCCCCTTACTATTAGAGTACTATATTCATATTAACTGTATTTATCTGTTACAGGAGCAATCCCACAAGTCGTACCGTCCCCTGACCGTGCTGACGTTCCGCTGGAACTATGCGGTGCACGGCCTGCAGCCCGCCGGCTACCACCTCGTTAATCTACTGCTGCACGCGCTTGTATCGCTGCTCTATTACAGGTGAGTGACGTCATAACATGCTAACTAACTCTGCCATAACTTCTGTACTTAAATATATTGCGCCTTCTTTCGAACTCGAGTAAGAGTGTTAGAACCCGCTTTAACATCTTCGCACGAATTGGCCAGGTTCGCCCGGTGAAATACCACCACCACACAGAAAACACGCGTGAAATGGAAGAAATTACGCGTTTCGTGTGATGAGTGTGCGTCCCGGAGGCCTAATTTAGTCCTCTTTCCCTTCCCACCCTTTTCTTATAAGGAAAGGATGGGAAGTGGAATTGGACTTTCCGGATGAGAGGATGATGGAAAGAGAAAATATTTTCTTTCTGTGTATCCTCTCCTCCGTCGATTGAAGGTAGGCAACGCATGTGCAATTGCGTATGTGTATGGGCAACGGTCACTTCGCTATTTCAGCGATTTCAGGTGGCCGCTCGCTCGTTTGCCGCCTTCTGATAAAAAAAAAAACTCACTTTGCAAAAACAGAAAAATTGGATCCTTTGAAACGTACTTGTTTCAAACATGTTGATTGATTGGACTTCGTGTAAAATATTTTAACCATTTTTAATTTAATCCTCAAACCCTATTTAAAATGTCGTATTTTTAATGACTTCTCAGCTACGGGTAAGATTTAAAATGAGAACGCTTTGATGTGAAATCTTTAAAAAAATAATCAATTTCTGGTTACAGCATAAAAGTAGATTAAAAAGAGCGATGGAAATCTTAATTTAAAGAGAAAATCACCTTGTAGGCATTAACCGTGCCGGGCGCGCCTGTTTAACATTCGAGATTTAATAAACGAGATGATGGATCAAAAAGAATTCCCAATTTATTTTTCAGTAATCTAACGTCTCGCGAAAATGTCACAGTTATTCCTCAGTCGGTGTAAGTATTTACCTGACAAGAAAGGATTAAAGGAATCTGTTATTACTTTTGATAATCTTAATATTAATAAATGTTAAGTAAATGGATTATTACTCGTTATTCAAAAGCAGTTCACGAGAAACAATTACGATTTAAAAGGATAAAAAACGACAAAGTATTTTATTATCAAAGACGAGACAAGATTTGTGAACCGGGAACGATTTACCTCTATCCCTTATTAGTTATAGACGTATTTTATTCCTTATTTATCTAAATATGCTACATTATCCTTTAAAAATTAATTTAATCCACTATGTATATAATTTTCAAACAAAGCAAAAAGTTTAAGCTACTAGGAGTTCATAGCTCCACCGTGCCGCAGAAAGTGCTGCTAAATAATTCACTAAAACGTTCCACGTAATCACGGCTTTATGGTTAGTTTACTAATGCCACCGCAACACCTTATTTTCCACGGCCTATTTTAAATAATTGAAATTACTTCTCACCCCTTGTATAGCCTTTTACTGAAATGGTTAAACCTATTACGTAAATCTGAAGGACAAAAAATTGTTTTTGATGTTTTGTAGATGGCGCTACATAGGTGTGCTACGCGGTGCTACGTTTTCGTTAAATTATAATCCTACTTACTTATAACTTTCATCTATAATTGGACAATTAAATAATAAAAGAATTGGTCATTGGCGAGATAATTCCTTTCATACAGAGTCATCGGTTTCTTTTCGAATTAAGTTATATGACTTCTAAGATAGTCTAAAGATCTATTATCACTTATACGACGATTTTTGATTTCAAGTTTTTTTTTTTTACACATAACAATATAAATCAAATTTTTATTGTACCACAACATTCAATTAAAAATGTACTTTTATTCCAATTATGTACACCTTAAGTTAACCGAATAAACATCCCGGGAGGCAAACAGCGGCGGCAGGAAGCGAACTGCTTGAATTAAGCCAAGTCTAATCAAGCCGACGTCCGCCAAATCCCCCAGTTACTGCTAATTACGGACACTCGCCGTCCGACGCGAACTAAGTCACACTTCTGCTCAATATCCAATTTGCTTATTTAATCTCATTAATGATTTTTGAGCTCTTCCTTATAATACTCTTTTAATTAATGCAATTCCTAACTAGTGACTCAGATATCTGATTGGATAGGAAATAAAATTAAAAAAACAATTTATTTTAAGACTGTTTCTTTTCATAAGACAATTGTGAATAAAGCTTTCTGATTTAGTTTTTGAATAAAAACGAATTGCGTTTATTGTAAATTTATATTTTTAATGTCGAACGGTTTTTTTAATAAATTGAAATATCGCCAAAAGATAAACGCAAAACATATGACTAACCGTAGGTTTCTGAGTCCAAAATCTCTGTTCAAAACATATCTTTATCTCTGTGATGTTTTTCGTTTTAGAAACCAACGGTAAACCATTATAAGAACACACAAGTTGGCTAAGCTTTTTTAAGCTCATTCAAAATTCAAAATATTTTCACCCCGAAAAATATAAACTCTCAACTTATAATAGAGTTACTTTCAAATTCCCGACTGTCTGGCTCATGCATGCTCCAAGCTTAATTTCCACGTTTTCAAATTCTAATTTCAAACGCAATGTTTGAAACTTCTCGGTTTTTAATTGAAAATCTTTTTATACACGTGGGACATTCACCTGATGACAATATTTCAATCTTTCATTCTTGATTGGGGTAGAATAAAGAATAAAGTAAACGAACTAGGGACTACAACAAACATTATACTCCAGAACTCCATAAAATATTAAGCACCTTTAAGCTTAACTAGTTGTAGAACTGGTCGCTAAAAACATCTATGACAGAGATAGAGATATGAGAAAATGGCTGTTAATTAAGTGCTTTTGACAAACAAATAGCTTCCAGTTGCACGGCTAACCAAGCGTATTTTGTAATAAAAAATAAAACGTACTAACTGAAATATTGTACAACAACCCCGTGGTCAGTTTGAACGTAAATTAAACTTAATTTGGCGTTGCCATGGTAACGCTAATTCGATTTCCGATCGAAATGTTCGCTGCGTACAAACTAAAACACTGAATTAAAATTAGAAAAATATTTTGTAACAATTTTTGATATTTTTAAACATAAAATATAACCATTTTACACTATTTTAGAGGGTATTTTTCTTAGTCGACGAAGTAGTGTGGAAATTATATAGATCCTAGGTAAGTCAGTCTCAAGTTTTTTTGTAGGACAGTACTTGAATTAAGCCTGTCTTAATGAAATCGCTCTCCTCTGTATCCCTGTTTACTGCTAATTAGGGATACACGTTGTCCTGCGACCTTTGCTTGGATTATACTTAATTTTCCATTCCATCTTAAGCATACAGATTAAGTAAATGGTAGAATCATTTTGAGAATTGGGTCATCTAGTAAGTCATTGGATGACCTTGAGCAT